AAATGTCCTGGAAAAACACTTTAGTGAGTCATTATATGTGGAAGCAGAGCTGTAATTCAAATGAACTCCACATCCAAACTAAAAACCAACACCTCCTCCCCTCTAAAATATCCAATTGGAAATGTAAATGAACATAGCAAAGAGAAAAGTTTAACAAAGATATAGAAGCTTTAGGAGTTTCTTCCCATGACATCTTTTCAAGCTGACTCCTAGAAATTTGCCTTGCTGGGGGACTTAGATGATTACTACCATAGGATAAAAGACAGGAGTAAGTGTCTTCTGTGTCTGGATTCAACATCCAAACAGGATGTGAATGTTTACCTTACTGAAAGAAAAGAATAACCCTTCTGGCAGTAATCTTCAACGTTACTTTGAAAAGCTTATTTACTAATCCAAATTAGTTTAGTTTTCTGACTGACAGCTATTTAATCAGATTAAACAAAATATATCTGATCACAGCTTTTCATGGTAAAACATATGGATTATAAGACGTCATGCAATTATTTACTAGAGTTAAGTATACTGGCATTGAGGAGATACAACATCTGAGCTCCATGCTGCCCCTTCCTTAATCCTTTCATTGATTTGCCTGATCAATAGCCAACTCTTTCAAAGCTGACTTCAAACTCAACTCTCCTAAGTGCTTATTAATGCCATCTGACATGACTGCTATCTTCACTACCTCCATCCATCCTAGTCTGCATGATTAGTACAGCACAGTTTCCCACAGCCCATAGTGTACCCTTATGTCCTTTTGGAGAGGCAAAGCACGTTGGAACCTTCAAGGAATTACTGCAGTAAAATGATAAAGCAATATTATAAGGTTATGTTAAAAAGGTCAGTAACCTACTTTGGAGGCTTTTTGAGAACACATGTATGAAAAAGTGAAGAGGGTAGATGTGCATCACTTTTGCACAGCATCCTGACTAGGCTATTGCTCCAGTCCAGAAGCTTTCTAGTGCAAACCGTGCAGTTTCACCAAGATGAATGAAGAAACCCATTGTCTATGAATGCTAAAACACCCAGTGTTGACCTGAGGGAATGGTCTAAAGTTGTGTCAGAAGGGGTTTCGGTTGAATAGTAGAAAAAGGTTCTTCACCCAGGGGGTGGTTGAATACTGGAATAGGCTCCCCAGCGAAGTCACAGCACCAAGCCTGACAGACTTCAATAAGTGTTTGGATAATACTCTCAGACACTTGGTATGACTCTTGAAGGGCTGTTCTGTGCAAGTCCAGCAGTTGGACTCAATGATCCTCGTGGATCCTCTCCTATTTTCTGATTCTGTGATTCTTTTTTTTTTCATGTTTTTTTAAAAAGCACACTTTTAAGTTGATGAACATCTGTTGACATCAATGGTAAAGCTCACATCAGTTAGATTCTCAGTTTATGTCTTCCAGGTATATTATTAAACTCATACTCAATAAAGACCGATAGAAATCAGCTATTCAGAAAAGGGCAACAAGCTCATGAAGGGTCTAGAAAACATGTCTTATGAGGAATGGCCGAGGGAGTTGGGTTTGTTTGTCCTAGACAAGAGGATGCTCAGGTGGGAACTCATTGCTCTCTACAACTCCCTGAAAAGAGGTTGTAGTGAGGAGGGTTCAATCTCTTCTGCTATGCCTGCAGTGAGAAGATAAGATGAAATGGTCCTAAGCTGAGACAGGAAAATTTCATTCAGATATTAGAAAAAAAATTTTCATTGTTAGAGAGAGCAAGCATTCGAATACTTTACACAGGGAGGTGGTGGAATCACTACCCCTGGATGTGTTCAAGGGGCATCTGGATCTGGTGTTGAGTGATGTGATTCCAACATTGATGATTCTATGATTCTAAAAGTAGTTATAACTAACTACAGCAAAAAAAAAAGAGTACAATTCTTCTTTTGTATACAGAGGATCCAATTTAAGATGTCAAATATTTGTCAAAAGTACTTACAGCTTCTGCTCCCAAAGCATTAAATAATCCTCACATTATTGACCTCAATTAAAAACAGCAGTGACAAACCCACTAACTAGAGTAATAGGATGAGAATATGAGCTCCTATTTCAAAAGAACATACTATTTTCCTTTTTGTTCTCATCATGGTCTGCATTTTCATTCCACATCACTCTAAGCTGTAGCTCTGTGTCAGCATTAAAAAACAGATTTCAGCAGCAGCAAGGCCAACCTTGGTGCATTTAAAAGTGCATAAATTATTTTCCCTAAAAATATAGAAAAAAGATGCTTGCTGCCTGTGACCTTGTGAACCAGCTTGTCCATGTCTGAAATTTTATAGCTGAGTTTTAAAACTTTGCAGAGTTTGTGATGGAAAGTCTAGTAGGTTCTTAAACTTACTTATAATGAAAGGTGTTATATGGTAATGAACCCTGGTAACAGGAATATTTTGCAAGCTTACTGAAAGCTGAGAAAGAAACCAGATTTAATTTATTGCTTGAAACTATTATATATCTGAGAGTTCTGAACTTTCATTATATACATTTCTTAATATGGATTGTCACTAAATATGCCACTAAGGTTTGCTTCTACTCCCTACATTCATTCACTCTATGGGAAAAATACGAATAAAGATTTCTTGTGAAGTATTTTTTGCACTTCACAGTGCAAAGGAAAGGGGAACCAAATTGAGGACATAGTAATTAGGATCTCAGCTTTGTCTGGCAACACCTAAAGAAATAGGTAGATTGGCTCTTAAATGAAGGAGGGACACAATAAGCCAAAATTCAGGGATACTGGCATTTACCCAGAGTATATTTTCATATTTTTCCTATTTTCAGTCAACACAGGAAAGAGTCTAACTGTTATCATGTGCAATGTGGAGGCAGGGCTAGTGGCCTGATATTGATTTGAAACATCTAGTCTGAGTGGCAAGGTACTCTTTGCAATGCCTTGAAGAAGGAAACTGATACTCTCTGTACTTCTTAGAAGAGGAGGATTGTGAATGTCGGTCTCAAAACCAAAGATAAAGGTACTTGACATCAGGAATAGATGTTTGCAGGACAATTACCAAAGCTTTTAGGGAAGGGCAAAATTACTGAAATACCACAAGGTTGCAAACTCCCATTTAATATATATATTTATAGCTTGGCGATTACAGTAGTAATGAGAGCACAGTAGGGACAGGACAGGACACTTTGAATTCCTGCATGGAATATGGTAGCAGCTTTGCCTCCACATAGATAAGTTTAGGCAGCAGATGGAAGCTACACGTTATCTAGCATAGGAATAAAGCTGTAAAAATCCTTTCAGTCCTGCTTCTGAGCCTGTGCTGTTTCTGCAGACTATCATTAAGTTGAACACAAGTCAGGGTCACAGCCTAAGTGCTGAGGTTCAGCGAGCAGATCTCATGGGAAGGAGCCATTAAGGTTTGCTATCATGAATATTCAATGCTAACACCAGCACGGTGCTGGGGATGGAACTTAATTTGTAAGTCACAGACTTTCTTTCAGCTGCTCTACTTAGCAGAGCATCTAAAATGTCTCCAGGTGAAGAGAGTTATTTGTTTATAGGAAAACATTTTCAAAGTAGCACGTGGGAGTACAGCACTTCAGGTCAAGGGCCATTGTGCAAAATTTCAAAATACGTGTAAGCTGTGTTCAAGGTGAGGACCCAGTGCACACCAGTGACAATTTACAGCCTCAGGACATGAAGCTATGACATACTGATGTTTCACAGATACCACAGAGGTCACATGAGGGCTCTTACTGTACATGGTGCCCCTCAAAAAGATGCCAAAAATATAAGGCTGTTTCAAGCCCAAATAACTTTTCCCTCTGAGCTTTAGGGCAGAAGCAGTTCACTGAACACTGATTGCTTAGGGCTCCACAGGAAATTGTATGTTTGAAGAATAACCCTACTCTGCCACAGGGAATCCAATCATATCAATACAGGGAAAAACAAACAAACAAACAAACAAACAAAGCCAAAAAAGAAAGAAAAAAAAATCTGCTTATTTTCAGGTATTTAATTTTTTTTTTCTTCTATAGAAAACAATCCCCAGCAAATCAAGAGACACCTGATACAAATTATGCAAAATACTTGAAAGAACCATTCCAATGTAGGAAATGCATAGTTTTAAAGGTATATGCATGTATGTGTGTTCGTGTAAGTGTAAGTCAGTGGTGCATGTTGAAATTACTTGTTTCCTTATTATTCTCCTGTTGTAATATTAGCAGTGCCTTTGTGAAAGTCATGTTTTTCCTCAAGTTCAATAGCTTCCTGTTGTTGACTAAAACAGTCAAATTGTACATCCATCCATGACACTACAATCTTGTGCTAAGTTGTATTTACTATTACGACTGAAAACACAGAGCGTGAAAACCCTCAGCTATCAGTGAGCAGTGGAAGGAGGAAACTAGCTCCAGAGAATAAACTTAGACACATCAAAATCTTCTTTAATAGTGTTTGAATAAGAAAACATTTGATACAAATCCAAACAACAGTGGCTATCTCAGCCTGATTTCCTTCTGCATGTTAGATCAACAGCAGACAAGGTGAATTATTTATATATTCCTTTCTAAGCTGAAGCACACTTCTTCTGCAGATAAACCAACCTGATTAACAATCACCACAGCACTTTTGGATGCTTCAGAGTCTGCTGAACTACTTACTACAATTTTCTTTTCTGTGAGAGTGGAATATAGATAAATTCTGTTGGCTTTCAGGACATCTAAGTTAGTGATTTTTTTTTAGATAAAGAAATACGCACCTCACTTGCTGTGGACCAGTGACTGGGTGAGCACCTGTGCACTTTGGGCAACCACTGTCCTGCTATAAAAAATAAAAAAATCTATGCTGAGGAAGCATAGTGGTAAGGAGGAACTGCAAATGAGAATATTTCTGCAGAAGATAGTGATAGTTATTTTGTAAGACTAAATGGTGCAAAAAATTAGGGCATTAGACTCATGACTTGGAGTCCTTACATCGTTACCAGAAAGAAAATTTTTTATTTCTACCTTTTCTTTTTTGAAAATGGTTTTGCCCTTTTTAGCAGTGGGAGAGAATATATACCAAATGATGGACATTAAAAAAATAACCTCTATTAAAAAGCTAACGTGTGTTTGCCTCGGTGATATTACCAGAGCTAGCTCTAACTGAATATACTTCTTTTATTTCCAGAATATAGAATGTAAATTGCTTTTAATGTTTTTGCTTTATCAGGCTCACGTTTGAATCATGTTTGGCAATATTGTATGATTTTTCATTATTTTTTCCATAAATACTGTATGATGCATTCCATGCATATCGTATACCATATATATTAATTTGTTTTTATGTACTCCACTTGCTAGAGGACAATAAGAATTTTATATTCCCATTTAAAAAAAAATGTGCCTTAGGTCTAATAATAGCATATCTTAGAGTCAATGTTCCCAGTTCTTTACTGCAGCTTGTGTGACAGCTTTATCTACTTATTAGTAGTATACCTACCTGAGAAATTACTCTCAAAATGGAACATTTTATTGTGTATTTTCACCTTCAGGAAACTAATTTAGAGCTGCAGAGAGAGGTTACCAAAGCCTGCGGGAAAAATACTTAATGCCATTGTGCTGCAAAAGATATGTATTTGAATTTTAACCAGACCTTAGAAAGATCACATTGCCACCTGTTCACTCACTGCCCTTTCACTCCCTCCTCCTACCCCCATTGACATAAAACTTTTACATTCAGATAATTGTTGCATTGTGCTGCTGGCTGCTATGGTTTTTCAATTTAAGGAAGTGAATTCTCCAGCTTTACACCTCCAGATTATGAGTTTTTTCTTTCTCAAGCTATGCACTATCAGACCTAGGCTTGACTTAGCTGCTGGTACTCACTAAACCCAGAAACTGTAGTGCCATTTATAATTCAGAAAGGGAAATTTCTACCACAAAAACCTGAGAAATCAAAACTCCAACAATGACTAAGCACCCATTACAGAGACCAAACCCACAAATATTTGCTTAAGGTGCCATTTTTTGGGGAAGGGAATAAAAATGTGGTTTCAGGAGGACACATATATTTCTCTCTTTTTATTTTTTTAAATTATTTATTTTCCATTTCTAGTTAGGAGTGATTCAATCAGTTTATATTATTAATCCCAAAATCTAAAAAAATTACTGCAGTCATTAAACCTTAACAATGTAGAGCACAGAATAGGGTTTTTGATAGCAGATTTGACAAAAGTAATATTCTGAGACACTGACATCTCGTGGCATGCTGTAGAAATAACAAAATTCTCCGGAGAGGTGATGTCCTTTTTTAAGTGAAGGTCAAGCAGAGCAGGTGATGCAAAAGACTCAAAAACCATGAACATTTTCAACCTAATTAAAAAAAAAAAAAAAAAAAAAGTGATAGATTTACGTTATAGCTATATCATTATCAAAAACAACATTGAATTAGCTTCACAAAACACTAGGGTAAATGCTACATTAAACAGCACTAAGATAAAATAGTTAAGAGCATTTTGCAATCACTTAGGAAACTTTTTTCCATTAACACTATTAATAAATTGGGCAGCCTTTTAGGTAACCGTAATGGGATGTGTAATGCCAATAAAGCACTTTAGTAACAGGTCACATAATTATGGGGTAAATAATCAGCCTGGAAACCATGATGATGATTTTGAAGTGGTTTCATTACTGGGGTACATCACAAGGTGATTGTCATTAAGCTAAAACAGTAGTGTGTTCTTGAACTAGAGAAAAATAAGTGCCATACTGCCTACAGCAAGAGAGCTGGTGTTCCATTCCTACCCCTTCTGAATCAGCCCTAGAGAAAAACCCACCACGTCTGGCTACTCCAGAGAGTCAGGAGAATTACCTCTTCCAATAATAACAGCAAAGTCTCTTTTTTTTGTAATTGGTACCACTGAAATACATCTTAAAAATATCTGTTCTCAATTCTCAAAATATAGTAGAATTGACATTGACAAAACAAAACAAAACAAACAAATTACTTCCAGTCACTTACAATCAGCTTTTATTTGATTTTACAACCTGACTACCTGCACTTGCATTAGCTACCTTTGGAAAGTGCTGTTAAAAGATCTCAAAGCGTTCATTCTAGACAATTCAGACATCTTATCACCATTTAGTTTTAGCATTGTTCATATCAATTTCCTCTCTCAGAAGTTATAAATGTTGAAAACCCAACCAATTATGCAAAAAAAAAAAAAAATCCTTTTAGAAATCACTATGTGGAAACATGTCATCTCTGGCCTGTTATTCCCCAAATATAACAGGCATTGTTCAAACATGTTGAAAAGGAATAATAAGTAAACCCTTTTCTGAAAGTAAACTTTGAGGTTCCCACACAGGAAAGAGAATGTTAAGAACTGAGTATGATGTAAGAACTACAATATGTCTTCCCTCAGGGTGGGAATACTTCGATTAAAAGGGTTTTTTCCACTAAACTATCTTTTCTGCTCAGAAGTGCTTTGCTTTTTGTGCAAAATTTAATGTGTTAAAAAACTTCTTGGTCCTCACAAAATTTTAACACTAAGGAAGGAGCCCTTTTTGATCAGAGTTCAAACAGATTAACCATCTACTGTGTTTCTGTGTTTTGCATCACTGCTCTACTTGTCACCTATATTTGAAATTTTGTGTTTTATTTAAATAAAATATAGACCTGCTGGATGGAGGTAATGAAGTAGTGACAGAGAACAAAACATTTAGAGATTAGCATGATAAGCTGGATGCACTCAGATCCCCAAGTCTGGATGAGGTTTATGTAAGGTTTTATAAAGACTGTCCTAATTCAAAGTAAAATTATGGTGATCAAGACCCTGACAATAAGAATGATTGAATTATACCCATTTTAAAATATGTCAAAGAGGATCCAGTTCAGTCTCACTTCAGTCCTTGGAAAGACCACAGCAAAAGCCTATTGGCAAGAGACTTTTCAAATGGTCTTTCACAGAACATTGGAAGCTGTCTGCTGACCGTCAGGGGTTCCAAAGTTCCAGTATTGAACTACCACCCTAGAAAAGATGTGTACAGGAACAATGTTTGCAAATTTTCTTAATTCAGTAGAACATGAAATAAAGTTTTTCTTAACATAGACACAACCAACAAAATTATAGTAGCTGAAAATCAAGCAGAAGTATATGATAATATGCTAGAATTCTGGAAAGAAATAAAAATACTTTAAAAAAAATAATAAATACAATGAATGAGAACAGAAATAGGAGATAATCACAAACTAGATGACATGAAGAATGAAAAATATTAGGAAAAATAAATTGCCTTTTTAAGTACTTACACAGTAAAAGCGTTGAAAGAGGGAATAATTTGTTGCTTTGTTGGAAATTCTTGATACCTGTAAATTTTATCTCTGCATCCTGCAAATCTTCCAGATGTCTTGACTGGTAAAGTGCGTGTTGTTTAGGGTATTTTTTCATTTAAATTTCTATTATGCAGAATATGCTTCTGCTTCTGTCATTCACAGTAGATTGTCAACTGTTCAAGCTGGGAAAAGGAGCAGCGGTGTAATGAAAAACTGACAATAAATTCACTTGTCTCAATTTTTTTTGCCTCTACTTCTTTTCTGTGTATCTATACATAAAGAATATGTACATATTGTTGAGAAAGAGAAATACTGATCTCTGCCAGTGAATGGTATGCTAAGATCACTACTGGAATAAGCATACCATGGGAAGAAAAATTCCTTTGCATTTCACACTAGCAAGCTCAGAATTACAATTTTCCTCTTTTCACAAAGTGATTTGCAGTTTTAACCCTGCATTTTTCTGTGGTGAAAACTGAAAATATGAGTCAAACATGCCATTTTGAAGACAAAATAATAAGTAAAGAAGACAGTAAAAAATGATGTCAAGGTATGAGAGGTATGAGAGGACCTTTTTACTCAGAGAAAACAATGAGAAAAATCCCCATAAATCTAAGTGAAGGTATTTAGTTCTTTCTATAGTTGCTCCTTCTGAACAATCCTAACCAGTAAAGCAAGTTAAGCGGCGACATACAAGGAAGCTCTCTCACTCACTTCCAGGTGAACTCAGAATGTGATACACTCAGCAGTTTTTTTATGTGAATTTCCATACGAGGTGTGCTAGAAAACTCCATCTTCCCATCATAGGAACCCAGCATGACTGGCCTAGTTAGACATATACATACACAATGTACCCTACTTAAAGTTGTTCCCAACTGTACTCATATCAGTAGAAACTTATATGCATAAATGCTACTGTGATACAGCCCTCATAAGATTCAAAGATTCAGAAGGAGGGTCTGATTGTACAAATTGCTGACACTTGGGTCCTCAGGGTATATAGGCACTTATCTCCTGGTGAAGGGAATTAAACAGAAGGCATCAGAGGGTGATGCTGAAACTCCTGCAGGCTTCATTAACATAAATGCTGAGGTTCATTTCAAGTCAGTGTTAGCTTTTGTCTTCAGCAAGTCCTTTTTCTCAGAATTTTAACGTCTAAATGAGTTTTAAAACTCTTTCTTTTTCCATAGTCATACATGAAATCTCTTCATAAATAATTTTCATCCTTATTTGTCTTCTGGCAGGAGACAATCACTTAGTACACACTTTTTATGGCATGAAATACATTTAGTTTCTAATTTTTCGTAAAGCAATTAACTATTAATTATGTCCTAAAAAAAGTAAAGAACACTTCCAATATAAAGCATTAAAAAATTACTACAAACTGGAGAAAGTATAATTTAATACCACTATTAAAATCGAAGACAAACAGACATGCATACACAACTTCATGGTTTTTAGTAAGATCTGAGGTATTTGTTTCTACATTTACTTTCCTAAGATAGTAGCAGAACCGTGTATGTGTATGTTATATCCTCTCCTCAGCTTCATTTTGGCAGTACTTGGAAGTTAATTACTAATCTTGTTCTCTTCCTTCTTTCTTCTCCTCACCACAAATTCCAATCATAACACACTTATGGTGCTATTACAGGCTGATAGAAAGCTCACACTCTTCCAGCCATGCACATCTGTCTTCCACCTTTGCTTGTCTTTTCAAATAGGGCATCCCTGGAAAGAAGAAATCATCTCTTTAATGAATTTGGACTTTAAGTAGGAGTTGTATGAAGAAGATTTCTCTACTTTTATAATCTTTGCGAGACTCTTTATTCAAATTATTTATATGGATACGTATTTATAAGTCTC